TGGGATGGGGTTTGGGATACTTGGGAGAAACTGGGAAGGACTCAGGAGGGACTGGGGACAGTGGGGAGGGACTGGGGACAGTAGGAAGGGACTGTAAAGGTGAAATTGAAACAGACTCACCTGAGTCACGGTCTAAGAAGTCCTGCTACAGCTCCTGACTCCAAACAACAGCCAAGGGGCCTCAGCCCAATCCCTGGCCCCTCCTCCCCCTCATTGTTAACACCTGGGCCTTCCCCATAGAACAGCTGACTCTACCCAGTACTCCCAGTTCCCTCCAATGGCTTGCAATATAATTACTAGACTCCCCAGAGTGCACAAAAATACAATCCCAATCCCACAGTAATTTCTACTCAAAACCAACACTCCCTGACCAAAGCATCCAGTCCATATTCTAGCCCCCAGCTCTATCCCAGCCCCTTAGTGATTTTAGCTTGAGACCCACAAGCTTTATTGCACTGCCAGCTCTGCTCTCTCAGTAGCAGCTCCAAATCTTGCAGGATCTTCATCTTGGCTCCATCTCTGTGACTTTCCAGCTCCAACCTCACACTCCCATTCCCAGTCGCCCAATTACTCCTCCAGCCCCACAAACCCTAGCCCAATTCAAAACTCACAAACCCAGCACTAGACTAATTTAACCTCTCCTCGCCCAGTCCACATTCCTGCCCATCAATCACTAGTCCACAGCTACACAGGTTTTTAAGCAACGGTGCCAGTCCCTATCCGAGCTCCAGACACTCTCCCAGCTGCAGAGATGCAATCCTAGCACTATACTGACTTCAGGCCCAGCCTCCCAGTCTGCATTCCCAATTTACAATCCCAATTCCAACCACACAGGGATTTTAGTGACGGTGCCACAGGCCCTATCTCCTCCCCACACGGATTCCTGCCCAAGTGTTACAGTCCCAAGCCCAAACCCTGTCCCTACCCCAGCCCCTCAGTGATTTCAGCTCCAGACCCACAAGCTTTATTGCACTGCCAGCTCTGCTCTCTCAGCAGTAGCTCTGCATCTTGCCGGCGCCGCCACGGGAAGCTGCTCCACGTTCTCACTGCAGGATCTTCAGCTTGGCTCCAGCTCTGCGACTTTCCAGCTCCACCCTCACACTCCCAATCCCAGTCCCACAGGTGCTCCTCCAGCCCCAAAATTCCTATCCCAATTCCAAAATCACAAGCCCAGCCCTAGACTGATTTCAGCTCTACCCGCCCAGTCCACATTCCCAATTTACAATCCCATTTCCAGCTGCATAGAGATTTCAGCGACGGTGCCACAGGCCCTATCTCCTCCCCACACGGATTCCTGCCCAAGTGTTACAGTCCCAAGCCCAGAACCCATCCCTATCCCAGCCCCTCAGTGATTTCAGCTCCAGACCCACAAGCTTTATTGCACTGCCAGCTCTGCTCTCTCAGCAGTAGCTCTGCATCTTGCCGGCGCCGCCACAGGAAGCTGCTCCAGGTTCTCACTGCAGGATCTTCAGCTTGGCTCCAGCTCTGCGACTTTCCAGCTCCAACTTCACATTCCCATTCCCAGTCCCCCAGGTACTCCTCCAGCCCCACAAACCCGATCCCAACTCCAAAGTCTAGATCCCTGCCCTAGACTGATTTCAGCTCTTCCTCCCCAGTCCATGTTCCTGCCCATCAATCCCTATTCCACAGACACACAGATGTTTCAGCGACGGCGCCAGTCCCTGTCTCAATCATACAGTGATTTCTGCTGCAGTGCCACAGTCCCTATCCCTCCTCCACAGTCCCTTTCCGAGCACCACTCTCCCCATCCCATACCCAGACCCACAACCTTTATTTCTCTGCCAGCTCTGCTGTCAGCTCCCGGTAAAGCTGCTGCATGTTCCAATCCTAGCATCTTCCTTTTGTTAAAGGTCTGAGTTTTCCACCCCAGCTCTCAAGCCCACATTCCAGGCCAGGCCTGACTATTTTTATCCCAGCTCCATCCCTGCAGTACTTATGCCAGGTCCATGCTCCCTAATCCAGCCCCACTCTTGTTCTGCCCACAGTCCTACCGTCTTTATGTCTCCACCAGCTCTGCTGCCTGAGCTCCAGGTTCTCAGCTTTCTGCTGCCTCTGCCTCAGCTTTCTGCTGCCTCTGCCTAAATCTGCTCCTGGGTATCTCTGCAGCCCGGGGCTGTTGACAAGGTCACAAATCAGTCTTTGTCATTCACTTAAATATCTCTAAGAGCTGTCCCACCCATCCCAACGGGAACAGCAACAAAACAATAGAATAAACAATCAAGTAGTCAAAGATGAAAATAAAAGTAAAATAAAATTATAATAGAATGAAACATCTTTTTTTACTTTTCTTTGTAACAATACTTTCAATACCAGCCCCACTGAGAGGTTGCATCCTCATCCTTCTGGTTCGGGGCAGCACCCCTGAGCATGGGCTACTCCCCCACTGAGCACTGACCAAAGCTGGCCGGCACAGCTGCCCGGGACACCGCCTGCCCAACGCCCTGCCTCGGCAGCTGTGGGGGACCGACCCCGGCCCCCCCTGGATCGGCAGCCGAGGGGGTGCTGCCCCATGGTTCCCCACCACTCCTTGGAGCGGCAGCCGCGAGGGTCCCACCCTGGCTCAGCGGCCGCGCCGATCCCGGACCGGCTCCCGCAGCTCCAGCGCCGCCCCCAGCCCCGCCGCCGAACTGCCCCCAGGGCCCCCCGCCCACGCCATTTATAGCCCGCGGCCCGCACAGCCCCGCCCCCCTCGTGCCAGCCCAGCCAATCCCAGCGTCCGGCAGCGTCCGGCCCCGCCAATCCCCGCCTGCCCGTCCCCGCCCTGCCCGTCCCCAAGAACCTCGCTGTCCCCTCACGCCCCGCTCCCAGGGGCTGCTCCGCTTCCGCCCGCTCCCCGCCTCCCTCCCCTTCTCCCGGGAGAACTCCGGGACGGGACGGGACCGCGGACCTCCCACCCGCCCTCTCAACAGCGCCTGCGGGCACCGCGGCAGCGCAGGCGCGGCTCCGCCGGATCCCGAAGCAAAGGCGCCGAGACCGGCGCCTGAGGGGAACGCGGGGGACGAGGTGGAGAGGGGGGCGGCTCCGCGCCGCGGCTGAGCGGGCAGAGCTTGCTCGACCGCGGCCCCGTTGAAAGGGCCGCCGCCGCTCCCGCCCCCTCCCCGCCTCCCGGAAGAACTCCCAGACGGGACGTGAGCGCGGAGCTGTGCCACCCGCCCTCCCTGGTCCCAACAGGGCCTGTCGGGGGCTGCGGCAGCGCAGGCGCGGCTCCGGAAGCAAAGGCGCCGGCACCTACAGCGCCTGAGGGGAACGGGGGGAAGGGGGGCGGCGCCGCGCCGCGGCTGAGCGGGCACAGCCTACGGGACCGCGGCCCCATTGAAAGGGCGGGCTACGATTGGACGGAGCGGAGAAAAGCGGGCTGGGAGTGGCGGGCCGGGATCGGACCTGCACGTCGGGAGCGGCAGCCGCGGGAGTCCCGCCCCAGCTCACCGCCGATCTCGCCCCGGCTCCCGCAGCTCCAGCGCCGCTTCCACCTCCGCCGCCGAACTGCCCCCCCCCGCTCCCCCGCCCGCTATTTATAGCCCGCGGCCCGCACAGCCCCGCCCCCCCCGTGCCAGCCCAGCCAATCCCCGCCCGCCCGTTCCCGAGAACCCCGCTGGCCCCGCAGGCCCCGCTCCCGGAGCCCCTCCCGCCCGCTCCCCGCCTCCCTCTCCTTCTCCTGGGAGAGCTCCCGGACGGGACGTGACCGCGGAGCTCCCACCGCTCTTCCGTGGTCCCAGCAGCGCCTGAGGGGAACGGGGGGACGGTGCCGCGCGGAGGGGCCGCGCCGCGGCTGAGCGGGCAGAGCTTGCGGGACCGCTGCCGGATTGAAAAGGCGGGCTGTGATTGGACGGCGCCGAGAAAGGCGGGCCGGGATTGGCGGGCCAGACGCTGCCTCGGGCCCGGATTGGCGGGGCTTGGAGCCCGCGGGGTGGCGGGAGGTGCTCGGGTGGTCAGGAGGAGGGACGAGGGCCGTGTCGAAGGGGCCCTTCCCGCGGGTCCGTGGCCGTCCCGGGTCCCGCCCCCGGGACCCCGTCCCCTGCCCCGCCCCTTGGTCGGGCTGCACCCCCGGGGTCCCGGCCCCAAGGCCCCTGCAGAGCCCCTCGGGGAGCCCCCCACCGGCACACGGGGCGGTTCCGGATCGCGAAGGCGGACTGTGCGGCATGGGGGACCGGGGAGCAGCGGCGACGTGGTGGGCCGGGAGTCGGCGGCGGGGAGCGGGGAGGACGCAGAGCGGCAGTGCGCCTCTGACCGCCTCTCCCCACGCAGCAGTTCTGCTTCTGCGGGGACTTAGACTGCCCCGACTGGGTGCTGGCTGAGATCAGCTCCCTGGCCAAAATCGTTAAGTGCCCGCCCCCACCCCCTATACCCCTGCTCGCCCCAGGCCCGCTGCCCACCCTCCTTCTCCCGCGCAGTCCCTGGTGATGCTGAAGCTGATCTGTGCCCAGGTTCTGCGAACCAATCTCTGGAACACCTCTGCAATCCCAGCCCTGCAGTGACTTCAGCTCCAGCTCCACATCTTCCCACCACCAAGTGAAGGTGCTCCTTGATCAGAGCAGGATGTTTACTTCAGGTCCACCTCTAGACACTATATTCCAGCTTCAGCCCGAGTAGCTATCCCAGCATATGGGGATAGGGCTGGAGGTGGAATCACAGAGAGGCTGGCATAGTGGTTCTCCAGGTGTAGTGGTGAGGGGTCAGCACTTGGGACTCACTGTGTCCTCTTTCCTTGGCAGCAGCCATTGAAGCAGACATAAGAGGCATCGTGTAGGACAGCCAGGCCAGAGTGAGTGAGCAGAGGAGTGGCCTCAGGCTGGAGAGGGGCAAGAGAAAGGCAATGTGGGAAAAGGGACCTCCCTGTTTTCACCAGGAAACCTGCAGGATTGTAATATACTTAAGATGCATTTGCTGTGCATCCATATGGATAGGCTGCAAGCACAGGGAAAAAGTCTCACCTTAGAATGGTGACATGAAATCTCCTTCTATTAACCATCACGCATTTCTTAGTACGTAAAATCTATTTAATGATAACCAAAACATCAAACAGTGGATCGATCAAGTTGTGCCCTGGCTGCAGCAGATGCCTGACTGCTCTCAGCAACTGGAAGGTGCCTCTGGAGACCAGTGAGTACTCTGGATGCTAATGCTGTCAGAGATCAAAATTTAAGCTCTCAACAGAGAGATCTGAAGAATTTGCAGGAAAAGAAACTGCTTTCTGGTTCCTTCAGCTTTAGGAAGCCACAGTGGCTGATGGCCAAATGTGCAGTCAGTTGGCTGCAAGACCTTTAACTCATCGGACCAACAGTTACTGCAGAAAGAAAAAGAAAAATCTATCAGAGGAAGTTGTTCACAGATAAAAGTGGTTCACAGATAAAAATGGTTCCATACAAGTTTCTTTATGCCGTTCCTTCAGTTTTAACTCCATTACAAGTGATTCCAAACCTTCTGTTTCTGAAGGTCTCATTCATTCGGGTTGCTTCTCCTCTGGCATTTCATCCGCATGTCCTGCATAAAGTTTCTGAAGGCTGGTTCTTCATGGCTCTTCTCAGTCACTGGGGGAAGAAACGACAGTTCAGTGCTATTTCAGTACTTGTTCTACTTGTGTTACTGAAAAAAAGCTAGAATCAGGATAGCCAAAGCAACATAGTCTATTCCATCTTCAACTACATTACGGGGCAAAGGAAAGAAGTGATCCTACCCATCAATGGAACAGGGAAAGAATGAAGATTGTCTGTGAGCTATAGAAGAGAAAAATCACACTGTAACAACTTAGAAGATTGCTCCAAGACCACAGTCACAGGAAAAGGGAAGAGAGCCAGGGGCAGAAACTGTTAAGGCCAAAAAGATGATGGACACATCTGTGCATCAGTCAGGTTCAGAGGTCACTGCATGCCCCAAGCCTAACGAGTTCTCTGGTCTATGTGTGTTATACACCTATTAATTACTTGAATAGAAAATTTACAATTGAACTTTCACAAAGGTTACAGAGTGATATCCCTGCACTGACCATTGCAGCTGAGCTTCTGCTACACATTCTGACACGTCAGGTGACTGAATGTTTGCTTGTTTTCTAGGCTCTCCTTACAGTCCATCCAGGTCATGAAATATAGAGGGGATTTCTTGACTAGACAGGCAGCTTTTAGACCTCATTCCCTTACCTTCATGGTCAATGTCATCAGTGTCACTCTCCCTCTCTTCTTGCTCTTCATCGAGAGTTCCTCGTGTTAGTATTAGCTCAGAGGGACCCATTGCAGAAGCATCAGGTCCTTGAAGGGAACAGAAACAGCTGTACACAAACCAGCTTGCTAAAGGTAAGGTTTCTATCTTCACAGAAACCCAGCACTGAACACCTGCTCTAAGGGGACAGAAAGCTGCTTGTGGATCCCAGACACAGGACAGACTCCATCAGCACCTACTCGCCTCATCTAAGGAACAGTGCAGCCAACAGCAGAGCTTTCTCATATTCTGATCTGACTGTTTCGCCTTTTCTAAAGTATTTCATTATTTCTAGTAGGTCCACTGCTTTAGCTACACAGTGGGGTTTCTTCCAAACCTGTGACTGCCACAGGAAGAGCTGAGTGTGACCGACCCCACAGGAACTAAAGCCCCGCTCCTCTAACATGGAGCTGCCTTCACACTTCTGCTGTGAGGACAAAGAAGCACTGTACTACTTCACAAGGCAAACTCTTCAGAAAACTTCTGCAGTAAACTTTATCTTCCTGGGGAGGTACCTGCCACTGTGCTGCCCTGCACACACACGCTGCCCATGTCCTTCCACAAGTGTTCCAGCTGCTCTCTCTTTTGTTTATTTTGAGCTTTCTCCCGTAGACAAAGATTTACCTGTGGATTCTGAGAACATTTAAAACACCAGGAGAAGAGAAACCTCACCCAAACCCAGCAGCCTGTCCCCCAGTCAGAGAGCAGAAGTCACTATGCAGGTCTTACATTTCAACTAAGGTTTCACAGAACTTCTGACTAAGCATGGAAAGCAACCTCCAGTCAGGTGGGATTCTAGGACGTTTTCAGCAGCACCAGGAAGCCAAACTCTGTGTAGCTATGCCTGCAGAGAACTGTCCTTTGGACAGCCAGAACTCAAGGTGAGCAGAGCTACTGATTTTGGCACTGCAATTCAGTCTTTCTTACTGTCTAAGTCAAACTAGTACTCTTCACTGGTGCAGGAAGATACGGGGATAGTCTCAACAAATCCCTTTGGAAATTTATTTTTAAGAACTCTCTATCCATCTGAATGGAAGACACAATCTTATTTCCCAATCGTTTTCTCACAATTAGCTCAAATATTAGCACTAAAACAGTGAACAACATCTGTTTTATTTTTGTAAAGATATGCTCCACCACATCTAGGAAAAAAAAGGCAAATGGTGGACTCTTTCAGGACAGAAGTTCTCCCACAGTGAGTACGACTAGTAAATGAAATGTATAGAAGACAATTTCCTGCTCCAGCTGGTAAATGAGCCTACCGGGGATGGGGCCTCTGTTTGCTGTTCACAAACAGAGAGGGGCTGGTGGGAGATGTGGTGGTCGGAGGCCGTCTGGGGCACAGTGACCATGAAATAATAGAATTCTCAATACTCAGGGATGCAAGAAGGACCATCAATAAAACCTCTACGCTGGACTTCCAGAGGGCAGATTTCAGCCTGTTCAAAAGACTGGTTCAGAGGGTACCGTGGGAAACAGCCCTTGAAAACAAAGGGGTCCAGCAGGGATGGACATACTTCAAGAAGGAAGTCTTAAATGCACAAGAGCAGGCTGTCCCAGTGTGCCGAAAGGCAAGCCAGCAGGGAAGACAGCCAGCCTGGCTGAACAGGGAGATCTTGAGGGAAATTAGGATGAAAAAGATTATGGAAAAAAGGACTGGCTACTCAGGAAGAGTTCAGGAATTTAGTTAGGTCACGTAGAAAGAAAATCAGAGAGACAAAGGCAAGATTTTAACTCAATCTTGCCACTTCTGTTAAGGAAAATAAAAGGTCTTTCTATAGATACATCAGTAGCAAAAAGAGGGACAAGGAAAACCTCCATTCTTTAGTGGACATGGGGGGGAACATAGTTATTAAAGATGAGGAAAAGGCTGAGGTATTTAACACCTTCTTTACCTCAGTCTTCAACGGTAGGACAGGTCTCTCTGAGAACAGCTGGCTTCTGGAGCATGTAGATAGGAATATGAAGCTGAATAGTCCCCCCGTAATCAAGGAGGAAACAATCAGCGACCTGCTGAGCCACTTGGATCCTCACAGGTCTATGGGACCAGATGGGATCCACCCAAGGGTGATGAGGGAGCTGGCGGAAGAGCTCGCCAAGCTGCTCTCCATCATTTACCAACAGCCCTGGCTCACTGGGGAGGTCCCAGATGATTGGAAGTTGGCGAATGTCACACCAATCCACAAAAAGGGCCGGAAGGAGGACCCAGGTAACTACAGACCTGTCAGTCTGACCTCAGTGCCCGGCAAGGTCATGGAGAAGATCATCCTGGGTGCAATCACACAGCAGCTACAGGATGGACAAGGGCTCAGACCCAGCCAGCACGGGTTTAGGAGGGGCAGGTCCTGTCTGACCAACCTGATCTCCTTCTACGATCAGGTGACCCGCCTGGTGGATGAGGGGAAGGCTGTGGATGTGGTCTATCTGGACTTCAGCAAAGCCTTTGACACTGTCTCCCATAATATACTCCTGAAAAAACTGGCAGCCCATGGCTTGGACAGGGGCACTCTGTGCTGGGTTAGGAACTGGCTGGAGGCCAGAGAGTGGTGGTGAACGGGGCTGCATCCAGTTGGCGGCCGGTCACCAGTGGTGTCCCCCAAGGATCAGTGTTGGGCCCAGTTCTCTTTAATATCTTTATCAATGATTTAGATGAGGGGATTGAGTCCATCATCAGCAAATTCACAGACGACACCAAGTTGGGAGGGAGTGTCGACCTGCTGGAAGGCAGGAGGGCTCTGCAGAGGGACCTGGATAGGCTAGAGAGTTGGGCTGGTTCCAACAAGGCCAAGTGCCGGGTCCTGCACTTTGGCCACAACAACCCACTGAATTGCTACAGGCTGGGGACAGAGTGGCTGGAGAGCAGCCAGGCAGAGAGGGACCTGGGAGTGCTGATTGACAGGAGGCTGAACATGAGCCAGCAGTGTGCCCAGGTGGCCAAGAAGGCCAATGGCATCCTGGCCTGTATCAGGAACAGTGTGGCAGCAGGACCAGGGAAGTGATTCTGCCCCTGTACTCAGCGCTGGTGAGGCCTCATCTGGAGTGCTGTGTCCAGTTCTGGGCCCCTCAGTTCAGGAAAGATGTTGAGGTGCTGGAGCAGGTGCAGAGAAGGGCAACGAGGCTGGTGAAGGGACTTGAACACAGGTCCTATGAGGAGAGGCTGAGGGTGCTGGGGTTGTTTAGCCTTGAGAAGAGAAGGCTCAGGGGAGACCTCATCACTCTCTACAACTACCTGAGAGGAGGTTGTAGGCAGGTGGGGGTTGGTCTCTTCTCCCAGGCAATCAGCAGTAGGACAAGAGGGCATGGCCTTAAGCTGTGCCAGGGGAGGTTTAGGTTAGATATTAGAAAGAAATTCTTTACAGAGAGGGTAATCAGCCATTGGAATGGGCTGCCCAGGGAAGTGGTGGATTCTCCATCCCTGGAGGTTTTTAAGATGAGGCTGGACATGGCACTTAGTGCCATGGTCTAGCAACTGTGGTGGTAGTGGATCAAGGGTTGGACTTGATGATCTCAGAGGTCCTTTCCAACCCGTCTGATTCTATGATTCTATGATTCTATGAAATGTTAGACCCTCTCAACATAAAGGCAACTGTGTGCATAAAAGCGACCCCGAGATACACTGTTCAGGTGTACAACGGCTAAAAACACTTACCAGTGTTTTTCTCAGGCGCTCGTATTCTGGCCGATACTCTCTAAAAAGGTAAATAAAGAGAGTGCATTCAGTCTGAAAAACACATGATTTGTATTACATAAGGATCATCCTGGAGGCTTCTTTCTACCCCAAAAAAAAGTTTTCTCTAGGCTTTCATGTTTGAGAGACATGTCAGAAAGAGTAACAGTATTTTCCCCATATTTGGATTCTGAAACCAATGGATGCAAGATCAATGAACTTACTTCATTAAAACAGCAACAATTTAAACCTTGGTATGGAATTACAAGAAAAAAATTACTTCACAGATTTGCTGGCACAGATAGCTTTTACTTTTTCATGGAACAGTACAAAAATTCATCTCTGAATAGTTCCTTTTTACTGCTGCTTTTTATGCTGATACTGGACACCCTAAGCTACCTTGGCTATGGCAACTGTGCACTCCTTCAAATCAAAGGAGCAGACTCATGAATCAGGACCTTCAGGAAGTGGTCACTGGGTCACGGACCAGAAGTTATCCCCTTACCTCTCATATTCATCTACAGCTTTAGAAAGCTGGGTAAAAAACTCATCCAGTCCTGTGCCAAGCACTGCAGAAACACCAACCACCTGGAAAAGAAAACACACCAGAACAAGAGAGTAACTGAGCCAGATTTTTAATACAGAAAAAAAAACAAAATAAAAACAAACAAACAAACAATCCCCCACAATGACAACAAAAAAATCAACACCACCGAAAAACCCAACAACAACGAACTACTGATCTAAACCTAACAACACCCATTTAATCAGCACAGTGGCCTAAGAGTGGGCAGTAACACTTCTGCTTCTGTCCAGCCCACTTTCCAACTCTTCCTCCACTTGCTGTTCATGTTTTGTTACTTCTGCTTTTTGGTTGTCGGTGATTTTCTGTTTGGTGAGTTGTTGGGGTATTTTGGGGGGTGTTTCTTTGGGGAAGGAGGTTTGTTTGGTATTTTTTAACACCACAGGGCAATTTAAAAGAAAGGTCAATTCTTTCTGCTGTTTACTTGTTTACTGTTAATAACCCAAGTTCTCATTCTGCATCTAGGGTTATAAGTGGTTAGCAAGTATCAGTGTACTAGAATTAAAGTGCAAAAGAGACAACAAGAACTGACCTTTTGGTTCTGAGATAGTCTAATACTTTTTATTTAGCCAAAGCACGTTTAAAAGGTCCCCAGAACAGCAAGAGAGGGAGAATTTAATCAGTTACTGTGACAATACATTCAAAATGCACATCTACTTTCTAATTTCAATTTGTGTATCATTACACTTCTGGCCATTTGTTCTGCTTGTATTAAATCAATTCTCTAAAAATACCTTGAATTAAGACTATTACCAGCCAGAATCCTACATCCTCTAACGAAAATTCTCCCTCTTTTTCGTAGGCAAGACAGTCTCAACTACTGACTTCCAAATGGAAGACCTTTCCCAACACAGCCTTGCATGTGATCATTAATACAGTAAATATGCAGACAGCTCTCCAAAGGATTTTAAGCATTAAGGCCAGGCACTGTGCCAATATATATCAATATTTATACTTTCCCTGCACTTCAGTACAAGCTGCCTTTTACTCTGTAATCCTCTTCATATGACCTGCTCTCCATCCAGTGCTCTAAGAGTTCTGACAGGCAGATAAATATGACCTGATCAGCAAATAAGGAACAGGAAGTACGTTACTCCTGTATATGGGACCACTACAATCCCTTTTGAAATTCTGTATATTGTTCCACATAGGACACTTACAATGTTTTTCTTTTGGCTCTGTTATCATTATCTACATGAATGGAATCATTTCGTTCCTGTAATATCCACACAGCCAAGAAGGCTTGCTCTTTCTTTAGTAAAAGCTGATGACAAACACAATCAGCTAAAACCTTTAGCACAGACTATGGGATCATTAGCAGCCCCCAATGTATAGTGTTGTCAGAGAAACAATTAATTTGTCCTCTCAAAACCTGGTTGAGTGGAAGAACAATATTCTTCTTGCACAAGCAAATGTAAAGGGTTTTTTTGTTCATTTATTTGATTTTGAGATTCTTTCCCTTCTTCCTATGTAGTACATTGCCCAACTGTACCTGACACTTTCAGAACAAGGAAAATTACCTCAGGTGGGAAATGCTCAGCAAAGAACACTGCCTCTTACCAGCCTATCTGAGCTTTCATCTTGTGATTAATCACAGTTCAATATTAAATTATTCAGGCTGCCATTCAGTGTGACAAGCTGCTAAAGTTATTGTATGTTCAAATCAGCAAATCCTCAACACAGGTCATCAACAGATTACAGTTCCAAAGGGCAGTGCAAAGCCCCTTTCCAGAAGGACAGAATGGTGGAGGTTGGACAATACCTCTGGAGATCATCTGGTCCAATCTCTCCTGCTCAAAAAGCAGGATTAAGTAGAATAGGTTGCTCACTTTGCCTGAGCAAAAGTGTTTTAAGCATCTCCAAGGATGGAGACTCCACAATTTCTCTGGATCATCTGTTGCAGTGCAGAATTAGTAAAATTAAAGTAATTTTTTTTCCTCTTCCCTTTAAACAGTTTCCTGTATTTCACCTTGTGTCTGTTGTCTCTTGTCCTTTCCCCACGCACCAGTGAACAGTCTGCCACTCACCTTCCTTGCACCCTCCTACCAGGCATTTATACACATCAAAAATATTCTCCTTGAACTTTCTCTTCTCCAGGCTTTTAGGAGAGGTAATAAAAAAAGGAAGACCTTTACCTTCAGTGAACTGTAAAATTCATCCAACACTAAACTCATAGAACGAGTCAGGTTACTGACATAGGAAGTCTCTTGATTCAGGGCATCTTGAAAAGTCTCGAAGTCCTGCATCCATTCCACTGCAAAACTGTGGTCAATTATGTCAGTCTGGAAGGAGAAGGGAAAATATTCAGAAGTAACAATCTTACCCGTAGGCTGTTAAGTGGACAAATAAAAAAAAATCCATGTTAAATTTATTTTTAAAATGTTGATCTTTTAAAAATATTCAGCCCTGGTCTGAAGTTTTGCAAGTTCACTTTTTATCAAATCAACTATATGAATACAGGAAAAGAAGACAAACAACCACTTCTCCAGGTTTAGGAAGGCAACAGTTGTTTAAGGAAACAATTGCAACTCTAAAGCCTCTATGGTTTTACTGGAAAGGGGCACCCAAAAATTGCATACTGCACAATGAATTTAAGGTGTAAATAGTAGATCATAGGATTGAGGCCAGACAAGAACAACCCTTGGTGAAGATCCCAAGCTTCCCTGAGTGCCTGGGGAGCGAGGGCCACTTCCACGCTGGGGAACCCCCCGGGATCTTTCTGAAAGCGAGCTGTGTTCTGGCCCAAAGAAGTGATGATCTAAACTCAGTGCAAGACAACTGCCACAAACAGGTGAGATGGTTCCACAATTTTACATGGATTCATATAAAAACAGTGTATTACAGAGCTTCATACACATCTTGCCACATGCATATCCACTCTTCACACAGTATGAGGTGCCTAAAACTGATATATTTCATTCCCCTCACCAATGGGAAGGAGGAAGATAGATAAAGTATTACCTAGCATTACTCAAGAGATTTGAGACAGAACTGAATCCACCAAAGGTCAAAGCCTGACTACTTAGAGTTAACTTGACTAAATTCTGTAAATAAAATTAAATCACCTCCACAAATTACTTTTTTCCCTCTCCAAATCTTAAAATTCTTTACATCTATGGGTTTGTCACTTCACATATATCCCAGTTCCCTGGGATTCTTCCATTCTTATCAAGAGTCAATTTTAAAAAATTAAATTTATTTAAATATTGTTAAAAATTCTTCCAATGCTATTGGCTTTACTTTTTAGCAAAAGCTAAACATGAGATCAAAATGAAGTTTAAAGTGATGAATTCTAAGCCTCAGGTCTACCTTTCCTTACACACACAGTGCCACTTTTAGTCTCTCAAAAAGTGTATTTTCTTAAGAGAGACTTATTTTCCTACCTCATGCCTTTTTCTACAGAAATAAAAAGCTGGAAAGCTTATTCTTATATTACTGTCTAGTGTCAGAAAGAAAACAGTGTACAAAAAGTTGCTCAGTAAGCAAGCAGATACCAAAGATATGCATGGTTTGGGTCACCGGGCAGATGGGTGCAGTTGGAGCACAGCAGACACTAATCCTACTCAGCTGGTGTGAGGGAAAATATCCCAGTCAAAGCCTGGCATACGTGTGTGCACATACAAAGCTTGCTGAGTTGGAGATGCAAACACAAAGGATGCCCATGGAGAGCAGTTACTCACACCAAAAATCTAACGGGATTCTTTTAATATCTGAAATTATCATGTTTAAAGATATAGCTGTTAAGCTCAAAAGCATTAAGGCTACAAGTTCCTTACACAACAGTGGATGTGTATTCTTAGACTAGTATCTGCTCTCTAGCAAATACTGCACCAAACATCTTTGTTAAGTTTTGCCTGCTACAACAGGTGGGACTCCTCAGTCAAAACAGGCAGGGGTTAGACCATTGCCACTGCGAGTCATTAGCCTGCTGCTGAGTGGAAATCATTATTAATGAAGATAAATATTCTGGGAAAACAGGGCATGTAAGCGCAGATTCTGGCATGACCTTACCCTTTTTTTACAGAGTTACGTTTCCCTATAATCCAGGCTTAAGGTGCAAAACATGTTTCAAATTGTTAGCACCCTCTCTGACTTGAATATTTGGGTGCAACTGCCCATCCCTGATTATTCTTGTGCATTTGGATATCAGATTAAAGACCCTTTTTAGATTCGGTTATCAGCCTGCAGCTGCCTCCCAGCCTCTCTTTTCTAGAAAAATCTATTATTGTGGTAAGACAAAGACACCACAGCAAAGAAGCTAAACAGAACAATGTCGCATGAGGACACAGAAACTAGAGCTTTAACTTACTTTGTTCATGACTACAATGAAAGGTAGCTTTGTCTTGTACAGGATACTGGGGGGGAGACACAAAATAAAAGTTTAATTTAAAACTTCCTAGAATAGAAAGCAATTTAAACATAAGGCAGACAAGACTTGTGCAAAACTGAATACATTTGACTTCAAAAGATAATTATTTTCCTCTGCACCTAATAGAATGTAATTTTCACCCAGGTTCTGCTTATAATCATTGAATAAAATATGCTCCTCCAAGATGTAAGAAATAAAATCTCCTACATACCCAGTCGAGTTTGGTTACCATTTTCTATGATGGTAAAATCCCGGTTTTGAACTCTCTGTGCATTTTGCATTTGACTCAAACCTTAGGTTCTGAGAGATTATTTGTGAACTGAGCAATGAATTCAAATAACACAGAACATCTATAAAGCAAAATTATCTTGGCACATGAGCTGATATATTCATTTTGCTGTATATATTCTATGATCTTTTGCTAAACTAAAGTCAGAAAATGCAATATGTAGTAAGACACAGTTGGCACACTCCTATCGCGGTGATATAGCTCTTGACCTTGGTACAAGGACTGAGAGGTTTTTTGAAAACCTTTTACCAACATTTACCATGAATTATGACAGCTCTAGCTATGTTGATGGTTCCATAGGTATTTACTCTCTGGGATGACATGAAAGACAACAGATAAATTCATGTATGAAGAAGAAGACAATAAATCAAGAGCTCCGTGCTAGGCTGAACTCCAAACAAATCTTGAAGAATCTCTTACAAGTATCAACGACATTAAAAAATAGAATAAAATACTATGTATTTACAAGAAGGAGCTTAAACTAGCCTACCTTGATTCATCTTAGATAACTGGGTTTATAAGCAATAGGCAATATGTTAGATCTAATATAACCAGCCTTCCTCATGCTAAGGTCTCATGGATTATTTAATGCTTTCAGTGGAAGTTTTGACCCAATGACCTCCAGATGTCCATTGGCACCTAAATTATTCTGCTTATCCAATGGGAAAACCACTAAGAGAATAACCAAACCAGCAGACTAAGTGGATAGGAGGCATCCAAGTGCACTCCCAAGCACAAATCCAACCGTCCCCTGGGCTGCATCCAAACCAGTGAGGGCAGCAGGGCGAGGAGGACGATTCTCCCCTCGTACTCCGCTCTCACCCCACCTGGAGAGCTGTGTCCACCTCCGGGAACCACGGCACAGATGGACCTGGCAGAGCGGGCCCAGAGGAGGTCACCAAAACCATCAAAGAACTAGAAGGCCTCTCCTATGGAGACAGGCCAGAGAGTTGGGGTTGTTCAGCCTGGAGAAGACTTCGGGGAAGTTTTACTGCAGCTTTCCAGTAAATAAAGGGATTTATAAGAAAAATGGAGAGAGACTTTTACCAAGGCTTGTAGTGATAGGACAAGGGATAATTTTCAGCTGAAAGGGACATACTGACAAAATTTTTCATGATGACAGTGGAGAGATATTAGAGCACATTGCACAGGGAAGCTGAGGTTGCCCCATCCCTGGAAGTGTTCAAGGCCAGGCTGGATGGGACTTGGAGCAACCTGGCATAGTGGAAGGTGTCTCTGCTCACAGAAGAGAGGGTGGCCTTTAAAGGTCCCTTTCAAACCAAATCACTCTATGATTCCCCTCCAAAATAACTACCCAAGAGACACAGCAGTCAAAGCAGATGGACTGCATTTCCAGCTTTTCTTACCTGCAGGCATACAGCATGTTGGACATAAAAGTGATAGGGTTAGTACTGCGAGAAGTGTCCATCACATATACAACAACTGAAGGAAAAGAGGAAGCCTGGGAACACGGAGTAAAAGACAGTTTAATTAGGAGTACACCGAGCAATAGCCAGGTCATTCATAGAGCTTCATTGTCCAGTCACACAAAAAGCACTTACCAAGGCCTCAGTTATGATGGTTCCTGATGCTGACCAGGTGAATACCTCAATTTGCCCTGGTGTGTCAAGAATAACATACCTGGTAAGAAGTCACCCCAAACAACAAAAAGGGAAAATTAGTGAAGCACGGGGTCCTCTTCTGACTAGGTTACCACCAGCATTCCATAGCAAATGCCACGACTATTCTGTTACAGACGAGAAAACCTTCTCCCAAAGAGTGATGAGATTTATGGGCATGCCTGAAAATTTCCTGTGAGAAATTTGTAACTAAGAAGTATGTACTATCTTGAGTCAAAGGCATCAATTTGACAGACACTTAGTACAGCAAACTCTTCAGAAGAAGAATTCATTGCTGCCTATTTGAACAGTAGGTGAGAGAAAATGACAGTCTAATGGAAGACAAGAAAAGCAGAACTGGAATCAGCAGACTTTTCTTCAATCTAGCCAAAGAAAGTCTAGTTTATCTGTTCTAATTCTATGCTCTTTTCTACATGAAACTTATACCAAGGCTGAAAAAACAACTAGAAAACATGGAGAGAAGCTTTTTAGAATTTCACATGATTTTCCCAAACTGATCCCAGAAAAGCAGAACTCAGTAGAATGTACTCACCTCGAGGCATTTTGTCTTTTTTCAATAAACTTCATCACCTGATTGAAAAAGCAGAGTATACTTGGTATTTAGGCTCACAATAGGAAATCTTCAGCTTCATTTCATAAAAGAAACTACATTAACTTGCACAGCTGCAGGTGTGTATCAAAATGTTAAAGTCTTTAAGCTTTTCAGAGTGTGAGAATGCCCTACCAAGGAAGGCTGAAAAATGCTCAGACCCTGCATAGGTCAAAGACAACTTTGATTTTGTCTGTGTTCTAGTACCTGGCTAAAGAAATGGTAGAACAACTGCAGTTGTTCTTGCCATTTCACTAAGAGATTGTCTAGGTATGTGACATCAGCCCCCACCCCAGAGCTGCTTTAGTGTTACGATTTAGGAGGGCTGTCAATTATCAAATTGAAATCAGGAAAACTTAACCTGTTTCCAGAAGTGAGCTTCCCTACTTCAAAACCAGAGCATTCATATGAAAAATTTTATAGTGAACATGGTGCAACAACAGTCCTATACAAAGACTAAAAAATGTTCTGTACATGTGGCTGCTAAATCTTACTTTAAAGAAAAAGCTGAAAAACTGAAATCTCTCAAATGACAGCTAATGTACTCTGACTGCATTGTTAGATGCAGGGTTCTGTAGGGAGAACAACCCCCCAGAAATATTAGAAGGCTAACCAAACACAGTGCCCTCTGAGACTTCAGACAAAACCACACAGTCATTGTAGGCACCCAGCACAGATCATAGGAACAGCACACAGAAACAACCTTGTACCTGGTCAAATCTTGTAGCAAAGAGATTGAGAGAGGTCACTATTCCACCATTTGGGCCTAGCCCATATCTGATGCTTCATTTAGGAAAGCAGATGGTTATGCAGACCCCAGAGGGCTTCTTTTTCAACTCTGACAACACCTGGCCATGTGCAATGCACACTGGATACCTTGAAGCAAGAGACAATACCCCCTAATAAACGATTAAATCTTCTAAGTGATGCAGCAGCATAACAAATACAAAGTGTCTCTCTCTTACCCAAACAGGTGTAATTTACAGAAGGAAAAGGGGCTGCAGGGTTTCCTCGTGACATTTTTGCTTTAACTGTGCAAGAACCAGCACTGACTCATCTGGACACACTATGTTATCAATCACTACTCTCAATACCCAGACATGAGGCCAGACACCCTGCTTAGGCCCTACTTAATGAAATACCAAAACTCCAGTAATGGTTAACAGACACAGTGAAACGAATAATGCACCTACATATCAATTTGAAACTTATATTTAGAATGTTTTGCTGGTAACTCCAAAACAAATAACAGCCAAAATCAAGAATCCTATTCCCTTACCACCTTTATTCTTGTCTAAAATACTAAATTTAAGAGTCATACTTGTAAGTCAAATCCAAGGACTGTGTTTTGTCTCCATCTGCACAAGCTATTACTTAGGAGACCAAGGAGCTCCACAGCCCTCTGGAAGTGCAGTTGCTTTAGTGTAATGTTACTGCACTACAGCCATCAACCCTCTGTGAACAAGAGCCAACGTTCCAATGTCTCTGAGATTCAGAGAGACAACAGTGCTTTGATTATGGTCAGAGAATGTGGAAATAGTTTTCCCATCTACTACAGGCAAACAGGAATGTCTATATTTGCTTATAACATATAAAATGAGACTAGTTAAAACATGGGAAAAGGCTGCTGGCTTCCACAAAAAAATAAACAATACAAGTTCTCTGAAAGAATAAAAAAGAAAAAAAAAAGGAAAAAAAAATGTGGGCAGAGTACCTATTATCTTGTAAAAACTTACTGTTAGGCAGAATAATTTTTAGCACAGGAGAAAACGACCCAAGGAGCATTAAATCTTGTAGAACACACGTTCCTAATGTCACATGCAAGAAATACATAGTCAAAACCTTCTGATCTTGATGCAACATTCTGCATAACTACAAGCCCCCCACCTTGTGGGATGGTCCTGTGCAGGGCCCGGGTTTGGACTCCATGATGCTTGTGGGTCCCATCCAATTCGGCAGATTCTGTGATTCATCACAGTGTGCATGTGACAGGTTATTTTCACAAAGCTCGAGATTTCAAATATCATTATTTAGACAAAAAAAAGGATACTGTTTCATGACTTCTTTGTACTTCACAGTGTCCCTGATATCTAAGGGAGAAAGACACATAAGCAGTTTTCCAACCCCCAGCTGGTCACCATCAGCTAACAAAGCACACCTATCTATCCGCATTACTAGAAATCTATCACTGGGATGGATATTCCAATTATTACTCTGACATCAGTGAAACAACTTGCATACCCACACAGCCTTTCTTAGCCTCTGGAAAGGCAGGCTGGCATACTTCACAAAATGTAAGACACAGGATTGTGACAAAACCAGGGATTGGTATGCCCTTTGGAATAGCTAGACATAAGGTCTGTTCTATTAGTAAGATATTTCCTCTAAAATTTGTGTCTTTTAAAGTGCTTTAAAGCTGTTAGTTGGTAGCATTTATGGCTACCACTATTGTAGATGTAGGGAACCAGATAAAATCTGCTAATACTTTCATCACTGAGAAAGAAAAAACCTTCAGAACCCAAACACATCAAATCAGAGCGGATGATGTAAAAAAACATACAAAAGTGATGGAAGAATGCCTTTAATTCTAAAAATTCCCATATTAAAGACTGTTTCGAGAAAGAAGTTAACACTTAAAAAAAAAAAAAACAAAAACAAAAAAAAAACAACAAACACCACCATCTTCTTGTATTAGAACTTGGAATCTCTTAAGGGCAACCCAGCCAAACAACTCACGTACCCGTCCCCGGTCCCTGGGACAGGGGTCGGTTCTGTCGCTGTTGATGGCACTTGCTGTCTCTCGGAGGACTCCAGGCACACGCCGCCCATCCGCCCGGGCCCACCCGCGCCCGCCCCCGCCCCCGCCCGGTCAGGCCCCGCCGGGCACAGCGCTCACCGATGTTGGCGGGGAAGGGCAGGTCGTGCACGGCGGGGTCCAGGTTGATCACGTAGGGGGGGCAGCGCTGCCCGTGCAGGTGGGCGGCGAGGCACTGCGGGAACACGGGAGGGGTCAGGCCCCGCTGGGAAGCCCCGGGGCCCGCTGGCAGCTCCCCGCAGCTCCCCGCAGCCCCCCGCCCCTCACCTGCACGAAGGTGGTTTTCCCGGAGCCGGCCATGCCCAGCACCAGCACACACACCGGGCCGCCCGCCGGGCCCCCCGCCGCCGCCGCCATCTTCCCAGCTCCCGCTTGTTCTTCCGGGGCATGGGGCGGCCGCGGCCCGGTCGTGACGCGCGGCCCCGGCTGTGGCCCTGCAGCCGCCCCGCACGCTGCGCGGTCCCGCGCGGCCTCCCGGCGCTGCACGGCGCGGCGGGGCCCGGGGCGGGCGGCAGCACTGCGGAGGCGCTCGGGGCGGCCGCGCCGCCAGGGCCGGCCGGAAGCGGCGAGCGGGACCGCGCGGGCGCGGCGCTGACGTGGCGGCGGCACCGGCATCATGCGGGGCGGCGGCGGCGGCTCGGTGAGTGCCCGCGGTTCTCCCGCCGGTTGCCCCGGGGAGCGCGGCCGGGCGGCGGGCCAGGGGCTGCCGCGAGGTGGGCTGCGCCGTCGGGATGGCGGGAGCGGCCCGGCGCCCCCGGGGGTCTCGCTGGGCCTGACTCTGGAAGGAGAGCGGCCCGGCCCGGCGCGGGGAGCAGCCCCGCTCTGTTCGCGGACGAGCGGGACCCGCTCCGGCTGCCGGGGGGCGGCGGCGGCAGCGGCCACTTTCCGCCCTAAGGCCGGGCCGCCCCTGACTCTGCTCGGCTCAGGCCTGGCGTGGACCCGCAGCTGGGCACTGCTGACGCCTTGCGCCGGGGCCCGAAGGCCTTCGCTGCAGGACAGCGGAGTTCATGGAGCGTGCGGGTGGCAACGGGAACGTGGCGCTGGACGCTGAGCCCCCCCGCGCGTCCCGGGGACACTCGGGGCCCGCAGGACGCCCGGGCTCCCACCGGCACCTCAGGACCCGCAGTTCCTGTGTCAGAATCCTCCCGTCGGGCAGTTCCTGCGTTGGGCTTAAGCGCCGTGTGCCTGGGCTGGATGCTGGGGAGCAGCCCGTCTCCAGCAGCAGCCGTGTTCCAGCGCACCGGAAGGGCCTACAGCCCAGAGGCAGGCAGAGATCGCCGTTCTCCATCTTTCAGTCTCTGAGCCGCTGTTTCTCTTCCTTACCTGCGCAAGGGAGGTGGCTTTTTTGTTTTCCTTATGTCCAGCCCTTGGGCATTCCTGCATACATTAGGTCTCCTCTTTAAGTGGGAAGTACACTGTATAAATGAAAAAGCATTCAGAACTGAACGTAAACACCACTTTCTATAGGTGTTTCCTTCGGGGTTGCTGCTATCAACATCTCAGAAAGGAATGTCTGACAGATCGTCTGCACTCTCCTTTTTTATTGCAGATCCTTTGCTGCCACCAAAGATCTGTGTACTAATCTTCACTTTTATGCAAATTTTTTTAGTTCTAAAAACCCCATGAATCTTAAAACATGTGCTACGTTTGTCGGTCATTTTGGTTCTTCTAATGGTAGAATAGGTCAGCTAATTTCAGCAGACTCTGTCTACCTGTTTCTTCATTTTTATTGTTGTAACTTCATAGCCTTGACTTTTTCTGGCTGCTCCTCAGTGGGGTTTCTCCACATTTCTCATTTCCTTAACATTTCCATGAGGAGCGTCTGGGGCTGGAGGCCCAAGGAGAGTCTGATGCTACACAGACAGTTTTAAGAATACCTCTAAATGTTTGTGTCAGTGCGTGCTACTGAATTTGCTCACTGATGGTTGGAGTGTCTCTTACAGTTGATCACATGCATCACATTTTTCTATAAAGAAGACATGTAATTTAGCAATATTTTTTCTTTTTTTTTCCTTCTTTTATTTTTTTCTTCCAGTTTCTTAGCCAGTTCATGTACATGGCAAAATACTACCTCTGTTCACTAAATTGCAGTTTTGGTTTTCATATGCTTCCATTGGGCAATGATTTTTGTTTTTTTAGTCTGTATAACCAAGATTTTTGTCCTGGGTTTCCGAATCAAGAATGACATTGAGTCATTATTAGCATTTGGAAGAAGGTGATGATTAAATACAAAGGGTAACAGTGAATGGGGTGGCATCAGACTGGCAACCTGTCACTGTTTTAAATTTAAAAATAAATTAAAAAAAAAACAAACTGGGAGGAACTGTTGACTCCCTTGAAGGCAGGAAGGCCCCACAGAGAGACCTCTACAAATTAGAGGGCTTGGCAATCACCAACTATATGAAGTTCAACAAGGGGGGGTGCCGGATTGTGCCCCTGGGATGGGGCAACTCCGGATGTACAGACAGACTGGGAATGAGAGGCTGGAAAGCAGTGCTGGCAAAGGGCCCTGGAGGTCCTGGTGGGTGGCCAGTTGGGCATCAGGCCCAGCATCGCCAGCAGGGTCAGGGAGGGGATTGTCCCACTCTGCTCTGACCTGGGGCGGCCTCACCTGCAGTATTGGGGCAGTTTTGGGCACCACGATATAATAAAGATATTAAGCCCTTAGAGAGCATCCAAAGGAGGCAGCAAAGATGGAGAAGAGCCTGGAGGGGAAGCCGTGTGAGCAGTGGCATCGTGTGTTCAGCTGGAGAAAAGGAGATTGAGGGGAGACCTCACTGCAGTTACAACTTCCTTGGGAGGGGCAGGCACTGAGCTCTGCTCTGTGGGGACCAGGGACAGGACTCCAGGGAATGGTTGGAGCTGTTCCGGGAAGGTTTAGGTTGGATATTAGAAAAAGGTTCTTCACCCAGAGGGTGGTTGGGCACTGGAACAGGCTCCCCAGGACAGTGGGCACAGCACCAAGGCTGTCAGAGTTCAAGAGGCATTTGGAAAATACTCTCGGGCACATGGTGTGACTCTTGGGGAATGTCCTGTGCAGGGCCAGGAGTTAGACTCGATGATTCCTTGTGGGTCCCTTCCAACTCGGCATATTCTGGGATTCTGTAAAATGATTGTCCACGCACTAGGAGCAACATATAGCAAATAAGTTGTTCATACTGAATTGGGAGTGTACATTTAGATAGGTCTGTTAAATTACATGTTTTAATAGGAGCATAACAAGTGGTAAGTGACAAAAAAAAATCTTTGTTAAATAAGAAGGAGTCTGTGATGTGGATAAAGTGAACATCTGGACAGCTGATGGAGTATGGCAAAGTGAGATTAATGAAAAGAGCATGAAGGAGACTAGAGACAACATTCTCGGCAACATCCATGGTAAATACAAGAATTAATTAAGGAAAAAATAAGCACTATGTAAGAACTAACAAGTTAGGATCTAAAATGTATGTCACTGTGTGATGAAGTCTAAGCAGAAAGTATGTATGGCTGAATGTACTGGAGACAAAGAACACTCCACCATTTCCCATTGCAAGAGGAAGAATTGGCTTTCATATCAGGAGGGTAGAGGGGCTCATCCCTCTTTTGATTCCAGTTCTCATTCAGCTGGAACTGGAAATGTTAAGCACTTCCACTGTTGTGGAAAACAGTGGTTTCCTTTTCAAAGGGTGGTGTATACACATCTGCAATGTGCAGGGGATTGGGTTTGACTGGAAAGTGAAACGTGCTGAAAGAAGCCAATGATGATGTTCATGTGAATTGTTCTGTTTTGTTAGCACACCGAGACTGGACATCACAGACAGCAGAAGGTCAAGAAGTCCTTGGAAAATAAAAAGTATGTGAATGTTTCTTGTCTAGTTTGACTGAGGGTAAGAAAAAAGCTGAGAGATTCTTATCGAAAAACTGTATGTGGTCTTTATATAATATTGTGAATGTTAAGACTTGCAGCAGTTTTAGTTTGTGTGATAAGAGTCTCTACTGACTCTGCTTATTGGTTTGTGGGAAAAGTGCTTTCCTGACACTTCAATGTGTTTTTTTTTAAAGTTTTTTAAAGGGTTTTAACACTGAAGATAAATATTTTAAGTCCAAGACCACATGGTCTTCCAAAATCTATGTATTTTGGGTGTGATTGTAACTGAAAGGCTTTAATTTGAGAATTCCTCTTCCCATGCTTCTGCATTAATTCCTTAAATATAGTATATATTGATCTGACCTGGTACTGTCAGTGTCCCCCACTTATTAATTCCTGAATTGATGGGTTAAAAGGTGAGCTCCATAGCTCAGGGTGTGGGAGAGTGTTTATGGAATGGCTGCTACAGTCATCACTCAAGTGATCTACTTATTTCAGTTTGTGAATTGTAGTAGCCAAGTGTTTCTGTTCTCTGTTTTTTTTCGTCTTTACATTATTGGTATTTGCCCAGAGAATAGATAGTCTGTGTTTCTTTGACACCCATCAGTTTGCTGTTATGTACAGGAGTATAAATGTCCAGGCATGTCAAGGCTGAGAGAAATATTTGAGGACAGTGAAACAAAGTTATGTTTGATCTCTAGGAAAAAAAATCAGTGCCACTGATTAATCTGAATTAGTCTTAATGTAATTTGATTTGTGGAATATACTAGAAGGTTGTCTTCATTGTGGAGAGCCTCGCTAGTTAAAATTCTTACTAGCATTAAGGCTTTTAATTGTGTAGTGCCAGCCTTGACTCTGGGAATAGAGACTGAAGGAGCTCTTGCCCTTTGTGAGATGGAAGATGTCTCTTTTGTAATGATGGGCTGCAGAAAAATTCTTATATTCTACATTGGTTGCTTAAAGATAAATGCATATTTTTAAGTTGAGATTCACTTATGCCTGCTTCTAAAGTTGAAGGTTTGAAGTAGAAGGAATATTTTTCTGCTCCTCTTGAGAGCTTACTAATGACATTATCTAAAAGATGTACTGAAAAATAACAGCGAAGATGGTTTATCTTGATGGCATTTTTCAGTTCCCAAAACACAGGAGATTTACTGAACTATGGGATAAATTTTTAGAATACTTGGGAAGATGAAAGGGGTGTTGTCTGTCAAGTTATTCTGATTGTGTGTATATATATCCATATACAGATGTGCGTCCATATACATAGGATTTCAACTTGATGTTTTCCAGGTCTAAGCAACTTGAGGAGGTGGAAACTACTGTTCTAGGAGTGAACAGTAACTATGATGACACAGTGAGCAACATTTCTTCTGCCTCACCGAAGGGCCCAGTGAACGGGAGCACAGAGTCTAGAAGCAAGCGGACCATTCGCAGACCTGCTTACTGGCTGGAAATGAGAGGAGTGAAAAACAGTGTTAACAAATCTCCAGAAAAAAAAGGTACTTACTGCTGTTGGTTCAATGCAAAATGTTCTTCTCTCTTGTTCTTTTGTGAGAGATTAGTTTGCTTCTGAAAGATATGCTGCAGTTCAACCATAAATTACAAGTTTCCTAGTGCTGCTCATGTATTAGAAGAAATAAACTTCTTCCACTGCAGAAATATGGGTACAATTCTCTGACATTACACAGATCCTTTTGAGTGACTTGTCTATTAAAACTGATGATTCTGTGGCTGAACTCGATTTTATCTGTGGAAGAGATAGGTGGAAGAGTTATGCCAATCATATCAGAAAAATGCTTTGAGAGCTTTGAAAATAGAACCATCAACACTGAAGATGGGCAAAGGGGACCATTCAGCAGTATTTGGGATTAGACACAGCTTTTGTGTTTGGTAGGTTATTATTTTTTAAGGGTGTCTTTATTTCTTTTATTTTCTTACTTCTGTCATTTATGATTTTCTGACTGGGAGTTGGGTCTTAAGTTGTTATAGGAACATTCAGATTTCCTGGCCTAAGAGCTGTTTTTCAAATTTACTGTATGGCAGAGAGCAAAAACTACAATCTGCTTTATTGTTCTTTCTTCTTATCTCTAAGTCAGAATCTGTATTCCATCCTGTTGTGGGGAGAGGCAAATCCGGTAGCTTGATAGAAACAAGATTGCTGCAACTCCACACCCCCGGGTCCAGCTGGTGGCAAGAGCGCGCGTGTATTCCTGTAGGAATAAACGCAGGCATAAAACATACATGCACAGCAGCCACACAGATCAGCACTCACACAAACAGCACCAACAGCCTCCATCCTGTTCCCTCTCTGGCTGATCAGGATGAGGGTGTGTAAGTGAGAGAAAAGAAGCATATAAAAAGGTATATATAAAAGCAGTACATGTATATGCATGTATGTTTGTGCGTGCACACATGTGCAATGTGGATCTCTCCTGCAGCTGGACTTAAACACTTAGTCTACTCAGTACCTGGCCTTTGGATCCCAGTATCCTCAGTTGCTGCTACATGAAGGTACTAGCCCCTGAAGCCCGCAGAGCCGTGCCAGGGGTGGGTGCAGACCTTACAGACAGACTCACACTCACAGAGTGCAGGTGAGGTTTTATGACATAACCTGGCACCTTCTGGGTCTCATCCCGAGGAGGATTATTTTCCCAGACCATGCTGTGGCACTGCTTCTTCCATACCTTCTGTGTCAGAGAATTGCAGGCTGTGGAGTGCCTAAATGTTGCTGAGTTAGAAGACTAACTCACTAGTTAGAGTCTAACTCACTGGTGTCCAGGTGCCTTACAAGAACTACTCTTTTTTTTGATTAAGTATTGAATCCAAGGGTAAGATGGAGCAGCGTAGACTCAAAGACTGAATACTGAGAGTGAAGTGTTTCTGTTCTTACTTATCAGGAGAAGTATTGCTGAAAGGCAAGAGGAAATCTGAGCAAGGGGAAGGCGAAGATGTTGAAGACTCTCCCAAGAAGAAGCAAAAAATTTGGGGTAATACAAATAACTTGTAATTCCTAACTACAAGCCTCCAGGTACTTCAGACTTCTCTGCCCAAATGTCATCTTCTACAGTCTTCAAACTTTATTTTGGATTCTGGATATTTTGTTCTAGGAGACTGTTGACTAGTGTCTGCTTTATGGTGGGAGATGATTGTTGTAATTTCAGTCTGTCTTAGAAGTCCAACAAAGGGAGGGAGGAAAGGAAATAGGGGAAGCGTAGGCTAGTCTGCATGGTTTCAGTTTCCCAAAAGATTATAGACTAAATAATCAGACAGATTACTTGTAAACATCTGGAGATTAGTGAGTAGATGATAACAGCAATATGGGTTTGTTAAGAAATCAAACCCAAACACTTTTCTTTTGCCACAGAGACGGAGGGGAGAAATGCTTGATACCGTAGGCCTTTCATTCCTTCAAAAGGTTTGTCCATCAGTAGTTAGGTGCAAAAGGAGATGTACAAGTGGTGAAAGTAGGAGCAGGTGACACAGAAGAAGTGTACATTTGCTTTCTGGTCTTGCACAGATGAGGTTAGGAAAGCCAAGGCCAACCTGTATTTGAATCTTGGAAGGCATGTGAAAGGCAACGAGAAAGGATTCTACAAGAACATAAACAGCAAAGGGAAGACTAGGGGAAGCATGAGTGTACTGCTCACCGGAGCAGGAGAGCTGGTGACAAAGGACATGGAAAAGGCTGAGGTACTCAATGCTTCCTGTGCCTCAATCTTTATCTGTTACAGGAATCCTTCAGGAATCCCAAGAGCCCGAGACCAGACAGAGGGAAAGTCTGGAACAAGGAAACCTTACACTCAGTGAAGGAGGACGAGGTTAGAGCGCTTAAACTGGATTTATCAAATCATTTGCCAGCAGCCCTGGTTAAGGGGGAAGGTCCTAGAGGACTGGAGGTTAGCCAGTGTGACACCCATCTGCAGGAAGGGTCGGAAGGAGGATCCAGGGAACTACGGGGCTGTTGCTCTGAACTTAGTGTCAGGGAAGGTCATGGAGCAGATTATCATGAGTACCATTATGTGGCACATCTGGGACAACCTGGCGATCAGGCCCAGACAGCATGGGTTTAGGAAAGGCAAGGTCCTGCTTGACTAACCTGATGTGACAAGATGATGCATTTCATAGGTGAGGGAAATACTGTGGAAGTTATTTACCTGGACTTTAGTAAAGCCTTTGACACCATTTCCCACATCATTCTTCTGGAGAAACTGGCTGCTCATGGCTTGGACAGGGGTGCTCTTTGCTGGGAAGAAAGCTGGCTGGATGACCGGGCCAGAGAGTGGTGGGGAATGGAGTGACATCCAGCTGGGGCCGGTCACCAGTGGTGTCCCTAGGGCTCAAGATTGGGCCATTGTGGTTTGGTATCTTTACCGATGATCTGGACAAGGAGATTGAATGCACTTTCAGTGAGTTTACAGATAACACCAAGAGGGCTCTGTAGAGGGATCTGGACAGACTGGATCAACGGGCTGAGACCAATGGTGTGAGATTCAACAAGACAAAGTGCTGGGTCCTCCCCTTGGGTCACCAAGGTCTGCCCCAAACCCTGTGCAGCACTACAGGTTTGAGGCAGAGTGGCTGGAAAGCTGGAAAAGGACCTGGAGGTGGAGGTATTGGTCAACAGTGACTCAACATGATCCCAGCTGTGCCCAGCGGGGCAGGAGGCCAGTGGCCCCTGGGGCTGTGCCAGCACTGCTGCGGCAGCAGGGCCAGGGCAGTGCCCTCTCTGTGCTGGCACTGCCGGGGCACCTCCAGTGCTGGCGCAGGTCTGGGCCCCTCACACAAGAGACACACTGAAGGGCTAGAGCATGTCCAGGGAAGGGAACGGAGTTGGGAAGGGGCTGGAGCAACAGGAGGGGCTGAGGGAGCTGGGGGGGCTCAGCCTGGAGAAAAGGAGGCTCAGGGGGGACCTTCTGGCTCTGCAACTCCCTGACAGGAGGGGGGAGCTGGGGGATCAGGCTCTGCTCCCAGGGAACAAGGGACAGGAGGAGAGGGAATGGCCTCAGGTTGTACCAGGCTTAGATGTGATATTGGGAACAGTTTTTTTCCCAAAAGGGCTGTCCAGCCCTGGCACAGCTGCCCAGGGCAGTGGAGGAGTCCTCATCCTTGGAGGGACTTAAAAGCCACGCGGATACGGCACTTGGGGACATGGATTAGTGGTGACCTTGGCAGTGCTGGGGAATGGTGGTCTTAAAGGGCTTTTCCAACCTAAACAATTTATGATTCTAAGTTCCATGGGGCCTGACAGGTTGCACTGAGTGCTGAGAGCTGGCTGATGCCGTTGTGAGGCCACTCTTGGCTGTCTTTGAAAGGTCGTGGCAACTGGGAGAAGTTCCTGAAGACTGGAAGAGTCTTCAAGGAAGTCTTCACTTGTATCTTCAAGGACAGAAAGAAGGAAGATCTGGGGAACTACAGGCCAGTCAGCTTCACCTCAGTGATGGAGAGATACATCCTGGAAAGCATTTCCAAACACATGAAGGACAAGATGGGGATTTGGAATAGTCAACATGGATTCATACTGGGAAAATCCTGTTTAATCAACCTGATAGCCTTCTACAATGAGGTCACTAGCTTAGTGAAATAGGAATATAGAATGATGGTTCACAGTCAGTGAATGCAGATTCAGTTCTAACTATTGATTTTGTCGCCAAGGACTTGGAACTATATAGGCAGCACAAAGCTGAAAGAGGTGGTAAGTGTATCAGAGAAAAGACTGAAAGTGAAAGTGGTCTTGAGGTTAGAGAAACAATTTAAAAATAGAACAGAGAACGATGTATAAAATTAAAAATTCTGTAGTTTGGGAAGAAATGCTATCACAGCTGTAAACCAAAGAACAACCTCCCAGGAGTCAGTGCTTCAGAAGAGGATTCAAGATTTATAACAGATCAAAAGCTGAATAGGGACCAGCAGTGTCATACTTGTTTTTAAAAAGGCAGATGTTAGATTGAGAACTTTGAGAGGAATGGAGGGTTCTCAGACATGTGAAGTAATTCTCTTGCTCTACTGCAGGGTCACACGTGGAGTGCTGTTTCCAGCAGCAGGCACTTCAGTTCAGGAAATGTGTGGTCCAACTGAAGAGGTCAGGGAGATGAGAGCAAAAAGCATAACCCATGAGAAAATGCTGAAACAATAAAAGTCGTTTAGTCTGAAGAAGATAGGAATGAGCAGAGAAATGGGACTTTCCATTTGGTTGTCATTAGATGGGCTCAGCCAAACTGTGCACAGAGGATTTTTCAGTGTGAAGAGTTCCCATTTCCTGAACTTTGTGTATGAAAAACCATACACCTACAAATATCTGGGTGGGACTAATGTCTGCCACTGTAAATAGCCATGGATTTTGAAGGGGAGTAGGAAACATAATCTTGAAATTCCTTTAAAAAGAAATTGAACATTTCTGAATGAGTAACTTTGAGACAGCAGGCTAAATAACAACCTTCTAGCAAAAAGATATGGGTTTTTGTAACAAAGCTAGCAGAACTAAGTCTTCTGGTCTGTCTTGTTTGTGTTATAGCAGGAAAAAACCGGCAAGCTGGAACAAAACAAAACTCCAAAAGGAAAGGCCACTGTGTTCAGAAAGAGACAGAAACCTATGGCACAGGTAAGAAGAAGAGGCAGTTGCTCAGAATTGTTAATAAAGCAGCTAAAAGATAAATGTGATTCTAGGATTTGTATCTGAGCAACAGCTTATGTTTCTGGTGTTTCCATTTGGTTCTTTGCTTTACTGTTGACAAGGAAGAGCTGGCTGCTGTCCTTTTGGCACCATGTCAGTACTGCAGAGCAGGACTGGAGGGACTGCACACTGCCTGAGCGTAGTTCCATGTGCTTTTGCCACTGCATAATGGAACAGTGAAGGGGGAATCACTTTTTGAACTGAAGAAAAGCCTGTTAAAACAGTTGCATTTAAAAACTCATAAAAATATTTATATTTTTTACTCAGCAGAATGTTTGCAGGAAAAACTCTGTAGCTGTTGCTGTCAGATCACCTTTTCTGGGAACCAGAGACTCAAGCAGTCTGTCCTAGAAAAATAAAACTAGCCTTGACTCAGTGAGTGGAATCACTCGGTATTTGTAGTTCACAGCACTCATTAAACACTCCAGTTTTCTGCCAAGTGCTGTTTGATTCACAAACTTTTCCTCCAGCCACCTGGGGAGAAACAGCCTTGGGCTGTTATTACTGGGAAAAGAGGAAAACCTTTGGATCTTGTAATGATAAGAATTCAGGCAAAATTCATGGTGCTAAAACACTTTCTTCCCAGAACCAATTTCAGTAATTTATAATCCTTGTGGATTATATGCCAAACTTTTGCTTGGCATTTTGCAAAGAGACCAGGAACTGGAAACCATGTCACACAGAGTGCTTTTCCGTGGCTGTTGACCTGGTGGTGCAGCTAAGCATTCATAGAGTTATAAAGATCCAGTTGGTAGAGAAAAACCATAGACTTTGCCTGAGACTGTTCAGTCGCATCTGTGACTGCTTTTACTGGGAAAACCCTTTTGCCAAAAGACAAGTTTACTCAGCATGCTGCAGTAATTGTGTAACAGAAATGAACAAAGGAAAAATCTCTACCAGACAAGTGGAAGAACACTCCTAACAAGGGACTGGTAGGATTAAAGAGTTTTGTAAAATGCTCTTCTAGAAGGAGTGATGTGTGCCTTGTCACATGACATACTTAAAGCTGCAGATGAGCAACACCTATTGAAGTGTAGCTGGACATGAGTTTGGTAGCACGTGACCTGTTTCTTTCTAGAGTTCATTGTGCACATTGAAGAAAAAAAAAAGATTTTGTGTTAGCAGTTACATTGCAAACGTTGTGTTTTGACAGGTAGTATGGAAGAGCAATGGTCTTTGGAGATTCAGGACAAAGGCCGAGTTACCTGTCCCACATGCCGGGCTGTGGTGAGAAAGACTGTAGAAGGACTGAAGAAACATATGGCAAACTGCAGGCAGGTACGAACACGAGAGATGAGCAATTGTTTCTTTACTTCTCTTTATCTTGCCAATAAAAATGCCTGCATGCTGTTTTGTGTTGGATTTAAAACCAGTTTCATCATCATCATGTCCCTAAGCAAGAGTCCTTTATACATCTGTAAGAGGCTGTGCTTGGTGCTTCTTGCCCAGCCTTTTGCTGGAGGTTTGGGGTAGTGACCAAAGGTGTAGCTATTCCATTGTTCCACTAAATTTTAGACTCTGTAAAATCTGTTCTTAGAGGTCCAAACCAAATGTTATGCTCTCCTTCTCTCTTTCCCCAAAGTTTCCCACTGCTTTCATTAATTAACACTGTGTCCTTGTTTATTTCTAGGAAATGTTTACGTGTCATCAGTGCGGGAAGCAGCTGAAGTCTTCAGCAGGGATGAAATACCATGTCATGGCAGACCATAACAATCAGGTAACACAACTGCTGTGCATCTAAAACTCCTACAGGAAGAACAGGCTTTTGTTCCTTCCCTGGCACACACAGAAACAGAACATGGGGTGGTTTTTTTCAAATGTTGTAGCTATTCAAATCTCGTCTGCCTATTATTTTTCCTGTGAGACTTGACATCTGAAAAACAGTAAAGTAGGGATGCCACATCGTCAAAAGAGGGGATGAATTTCTGTTTCGGCTGATAATAAGTCATGCATAAAAGGCATTCTCAGTCAGAAAGGAAAAGATTGCTCCTTAGGCTGCAATTTTCAGTCCTTTGCTAGAAAGCAGGAGGTTGTTTTTTTACATCCGGAGCAGACTAGATGTGAGTTCTTTACGACTTCAAAGGTAGAAAAGCAGAACCAGAAATTAATTCTTGTCTCTCTTTACTGTAAAAATACCAATGCTACAATCTGCTTTTCATCTTTGCTGTTACTTTAAAGAAGGCAGTGTCTCCTGTTGTAGTTGTGAAGAATTAGAACTTCTGAAACAGTCGTTTGGAAGTTTGGGTAAGGTTCAGAAAATTCACAACTGTAATTTTTTACACAATTCCCATTTACACAATGCAGTTTCTGAACCTACAGCTGTATTAGTAAATGGTACAGACCAGGGATCATATTCAGCACCTGAGGATTAGGTCTGTCACTCAGTTCTAACTTTCTAAGTGTAATATTGGGTAGTGTAGGAAATAATATACAATAACCATCAGAGAGAGAATAAAGAGCTTGAGCTGTAGTTTAGCACAGATAAATAAGTGTTACAAGCAGGCTTTAGTCAAGCTAAGTGGAAACACTAGGACCAGTAAATGTTAAAGATGCATGATTTTCTGTCAGTTTACTCCTTTTAAAGATAATTCAGGTTTGGTTTAACCCCAGCCAGCAGCCAAGCCCCACGCAGCCTCAAGCTCATTCCCCCACCCACAGGATGGGGAAGGGAATTAAAGAGTAGAAGTGACAAAACTCATGGGTAAAGAAGTGACAAAAGCTCAATTGGTAAAGCAAAAGCCATGCTCACAAGCAAAGCAAAACAGGGAATTCATCCACTGCTAGCCACAGGCACACAGGTGTTCAGCCACCTCCAGGACCACAGGGCTCCATCACGCGTCAGAATGGCTTGGGACGAGCAACGACATCGCTTCGAACGCTGCTCCCCTTCCTCTTCCTTCCCCCAGTTTTATATGCTGGGCATCATACCATGTGGTCTGGAATATCCCTGTGGCCAGCTGGGGTCAGCTGTCCCAGCTATGTCCCCTCCCCTGCTTATGCACCCCCAGGCCACTCACTGGCAGGGAGGTATGAGAAGCAGAAAAGACCTTGATGCTGTGCAAGTGCTGCTCATCACTGACAAAACCATTTCTACACTATCAGCCCTGTTCTCAGCACAGATCTGAAACACAGCCTCATATCAGATGCTGCAAAGAATACTCCACCCCAGCCCAAACCAGCACAGATATGGAAAGTGATTGTTATAATAAATGCACATCCATAAAATCATAAGTTGCAGACATTTAATTATTTTAGAAGCTTTCCTTCAGTAGAGTGTTTAGTAGTGAATTCCCTATGACAAGAACTGTAAATGCTGAGTATCATGTGTTTTCCTTTCATCTTTCTGCTGTGCTTTAGCCAGTTGTGAAGGAGGGAGAGGAAGTGGACGAGCAGCTTGAGCGAGACCGCCTTCGGAAGGTTTTGAAGTGTATGGGAAAACTGAAGTGTACAAGGGAGGTAAGCTGCATTGTGCAAAGTGTGAATTAAACAGCAGTGGAGGCATGAGCATAGAACGGGAGAGTGCATAGAACGGGTATGCTTTGGTGCTGGCCAAAGCAAGGTTTGTTTCAAGATCGTAGCTATGCTTTTAAGACAGAGTTACATAGAATCATAGAATGGTTTGGATTAAAAGAGACCTTTAATGGTCATTTCAATGCCAATTCTTTGTTGCAGATTTTGTCTGTCTGAATAGACTAACATTAAAGTTTTCTACCTGCTTGTCTCTGTTCTGTCAGGAAAAGTGGTAGTACTTTGGTCAGCAAACTGTGTATACGCTGGTCTCGTGATCACGGGGAGAACGGTTTTCCTCCATGTCTGTTTCTTCTGTGTTGACAGGGCTGCACAGGCAGCTTCACCAGCATAATGGGATACCTGTATCATGTTAAAAAATGTGGGAAGGCTGCTTCTGAGCTGGAGAAAATGGCTATGAAGTGCCATCACTGTGGAAAAGCATACAGATCAAAGGCAGGACTGGTCTACCACCTCCGCTCTAAGCACGGGCCGGTGAGTGCACCTGCCCTGGTTATCAGGGGGCTGTGGGAGGACCTCAGCCTCTCAGACTTGAGACACACGTAAGCTTTTGTCTGCTACTTTGGTGGGTAATTACAGATCACAAATCTTTGTGTTTTCCTGTCTCTCTGGAGTAGTCCTTGATACTTTCCTTCTAGCAGCAGCTGTTTCTTTTCTTTGACTAGGATGAAGCTTTTAATAGTAAATTGGCATCGCAGCACCTGACTTTTGCTCCATGGAAGAGTGATACTAACATAACTTGTGAGATGCTTTTCTTTGCTCTTAAAAGACCCACCATTGGAGCAGAACAGGCAGTGCTGCAAGGGTTTTACAGTTGTCTGCAAGGGTTTTACAGTGAATGATGAGATACCTTTCAAGACCAGTGACTGCATGAAACTTTCTGCTTGAGCCTCACTGCTGTGACCCCCCTGAGCAGATCTGGGGGTCTGTCTCACTAGTGGGATGCACTTCTGTCCTATGTCTGTGACAGTGAACCACAGCTGCTGCAGCATTTTTATGAGGAATTTGTCAGAATATTTATTCCCAGTATTTAGTGTAACTGAAATAGGAACTAGTGAAGGAGGCTCACCTTTTTTGACCTTCATTGCAGGTCACTTTCCTCCATGAGGAGAGAAGAACAGGGAACCTGATAGAAATGAAACAGGAACAAAACAACACAGGCAGAGTTCAGAGGAGATCTGCAAAGGTGGCAATCTACTATCTCCATGAACTGGCTGGAGAAGAGCTGGCCAAAGAGTGGCCCAAAAGAAAAGTTCTGCAGGACTTGATTCCAGATGACCGGAAGGTACAAGGCCTTAAAAATGCTTTATAGATTTGAGTTTTTACCTTCATGTCAGATGAGTCTTGTACTGGCTCCTGCCCAGTGTTTAGTGGCCCGTGGAGAGCAGTATATGTTGTGGGAGGGATTTGGGTTTGCTCTCTTTCATCTTAGATTACAGTACTGCTGCAGCAGCAATTGCAGTGGTGTTTTTTGTCAAGGCAGGCTGTAATGACTGTAAAGTCCTATTGCTGGAATTTTCAGTGGACACAAGGAACATGGGCAGTTATGGGCATGATGTTGCTCATAAGTCATAGGCTGCACATCCCTCCAACCATGCTGTGATATTTCCGTGTTTCAGGCTTCAGAACTTCCAGGATCATCTTTTAGACTGTAAAGGAAACCTAAGGGAAAATGATGCTTTATGATTTCGGTGGGATAAGTACATTTAGAGGAATTGTTGTAGTCAAGGCTATGGGAAGTTTCAGATTCTGGTATTGGGAGGGTTTTCCAGTTTCAGTTATGTTTCTAGGCAATCAGTGAGACAGGAAAACATTGGTTGTTGTGATTTTGGCTGCTAGAGTAGAAGAAATAGCACTTCTGTCTCACAGTCTGGAAGAGGAAGAGGCATAGCTGGCAGTCTATGTAGCCAGCATTGCTTCCAGCTCTCAATTCCGTCTCTATCTCAGCTGAAATACACTCGTCCTGGACTGCCCACATTTAGTCAAGACGTGCTGTGCAAATGGAAAGCAGAGATAAAGATGTACCGAAGAGTCCACTGCCCAAATCAGGTAATCCTTAAATGTTTCTGAAGCCTCAAAGGGGACAGATTTCAGGTCTCTATGAGCCAACAGGCTTTCCACAACCTTGAGACTGCAGTTTGTCTCTGTGAGAGACAAATCCTGCCTCGTCTCAATATCGTTTAGTATAATCAAGACACTTGGGGATGTCAGGGCATGCTCCTTTTGCCCTTTCTATCCAAATACCCTAGTAATGATCCTTTGGGAATGTGTGTGTTCACTTCAGAGCCAGTAACCTGGTGTCAGACTGGTACAGCTTTTGCATCCAGCTGGGAGCTGGTCCATTTGGAGGTTTGAACAGTGGAAAAATGACAGACCCCTGCCTTTCTAGCTAAATCTAATTGTAGAAGGGAGGAGTAGAGGGACTTTGTCTGGCACAACACTTAAGCTTTCTTCATTCCACTAGACCAGCTCTAAGCCCCATCCAGCCTGGCCTTGGACACTTCCAAGTGTCCACAGCTTCTCTGGCCAACCTGTGCCAGGGCCTCACCACCCTCACAGGGAAGAATTTCTTCCCAATATCCCATCTAACCCTGCCCTCTGGCAGTGGGAAGCCATCCCCCCCATTCTCCTGACGCTCTAGACCCTTGTCAAAAGTCCCTCTCCAGCTCTCTTGGAGCCCTCTAGGCACTGGAAGTCTTAGTTTTTTATAATACCATGCAGTAATCACCAGTCAGATCCCGTGAGAACAAATGGCCCAGTTGGTGGAGGTGATGGTGGATGTGACCGTGTGGTGCACGCTGTCCGAGAGCCAAAAGTCAGTGGCAGCTGCCCTCTGGGTTTGGTGTAGGGATGATGCCTTCCCCTTGCCCTACCCCACCCCCAGCACTCTCTTCCCAATTATCAGGCTTGCATCCTTTCCAAGTATCAGAATTGCAGGACTATGTTGTGTATGGAGCTGTTTCCAGAGAGCAGCTGTCCTGTGTCACCAACCAGTAACCCAGTAGCTTGTCTTGCTCGTCCCTCCTGTCCCAGGGCCTGGGCTGAGGTCTGAGCACTGTCTGGTACCCTAAGACTGATGCCTGAAGCTCCCCATGGGACAGGCCTGCAAAGCTGCCCTTGAACTGAGACCGGCGATGTTGGGCGCTGTGCCCCTGCTCTGTGCCACTAGAGACACGGGCAGCATGGCAGAGAGTACTTGCCCCTGTCTTGTACCTGCCCCTCTGCTTTGTTTGAAATTAATCTCTGTTGCACTTCAGGCAAAAAACAAACTACCATTTTAATCAGGCTTTTGATAGAGAGTGAGTGTAACTGTCACAGGAGTCTATTATGTCCAAAGGTGCTCAGAAACTGGCAAAACAAATATTAAGCTTACTGAAAGCTTAACTCTTTCAATGGTCTTTTTACCGGAAGCTTTCTGGCTTTGTAGGACTCCATATCTCCCTTCCTCTACCTCTCTTAGCCCTTTTGGAATTATCTTCCAGACAATAAGACCTTGTGCAGGAAGAAGTGATTTCTTACTAGAATGTCACTGACATGCTTTTTTTTGTTGTTTCAGGGTTGTGAATCTGTGTACGGCAGTGTCTCAGGACTCAAATCTCACCTCGGCACATGTACCTTGGTTGGTAGCCTTCCTGTAACAGCCCCACTGTCCCTGTCCTTCTGATATCCCTTTGTTCAAGCTGTTGTCCTGCCATCTGCTAATCTGAGATCCTCACAAGTTCATAAAATCACAGAACGGTTTGGGTTGGAAGGGACCTTAAAGATCATCTCGTTCCAACCCCCAGTTTGAGTGTTCCCTATGTGCTACTGAGGCTGCCGTGGCAAACACTGCTTGAGACCAGTAGGAAGCACCTTAATGGCATCCCTTACAATGAAACAGCAGTCCTACCTGTAGATGCACAGCTACAAGAGCAGTTTTTCCAGATACAGTGCTAGAGACCTTATGACATCTCACAGAGCAGTCCTATGCTTTGTGGGCACAGCTGGTCAATCATGTCAGTGCTCCTGGAGCTAAAGCTTTGTCTGATATGAATGAGAGTTTCTAGTTTTTACTGGGTTCTATCTGAGCAAGATTCAAATGCAATTTAGAGATGTATCAGCCTCCTGGTCAGCAATTGTTGATGGATTTTTTTTGTTATGTTTTGATGCCAGGGAGACTTTGTGGCTGGTAAATACAAGTGTCTCCTGTGTGAGAAGGAGTTCATTTCAGAGAGTGGGGTCAAGTATCACATCAACTCTGTGCATGCTGAGGTAAGGCAGGTGGAGTGGAACTTCAAACCCCAGGCTGTTGGAGGTGGGGAGAGTGTCTTGGGAAGGAAATGCTGGGGGTGTGCCCTGTTTTATTTTTTTCCTTACTTACTGTTGGGAACAGGGTCCTAGACTGGAGTGGCCTTTGGTTTGCTTAAACACAGCTGGTCTTATGTTCCGGGGAGCAGCTGTCGTGTTATGTCACGTGCCTTGCCCCAAGCTGCTGCTGCTCAATTCAGCTCTGCAGCATTTCCCAAGCCTTTAACCAGGCAATTGCCAAATCAAATCTGCGTCCTTCAGGCAGAGTGACACTTGAGACACATCAAAGAACAGTGTTGTTAGGCAGCTGCCTTTCCAGATCTCACACTTCAGGAAAACTTGTCCCACAAGACAGCTTTATTATAAGCCCTGATAGGCTTTATGTGGTATTTCCACCACCATCAGTACCAACCTGTTGCCTTCTAAACCCTGCAGGACTGGTTTGATATGAACACAATGACCACCAAAAGCTTTGAGAAGCTAATGAAAATCCGCCAAAGGGAAGAGCAGAGGAAGCAACGGAAGAAACGTCCCTTGACCAGGGGCAAAAAGAAGAAAGCTGGGACCCTGGCTGCCAAGAAGCTCCCCACTGCTGGAGTTGAAAAAATGAGGAAAAATAAGAGGGGTCGTCCACGGCGGGTGGACAATGAGAGTGCGAGCAGTGAGGAAGGGGCACTCCAAGTTGCACAGAGAGCTGAATTTCCTAAAACCAGCCGCAAGCGAGGCCGAAGCAAATCCCTAGAGGATGAGAAGGTGTAATTCTAAAGCTTTTCAATTACAAGCCCCACTTCTGTCCAGCTCATAACTCACAGCACTAATATAAGCAACTGGATGTCTTTGGGACTTGTGACTCAATTCTACTTGGTGACTTTGATATTGAAACTTTTGCCTCTGCTCAGTTGTGAGGGATTCAAACCAAAGCTGTGGTGCAGAGGCTGCCTCTTCTGGTATAGTTCCCTTGGACAGTGGCACTAGCAGTGTACCCAGTGTGATTCCTGCTCTGGTTACATCCCAGTCTCAGATTGGTCACATTATTGCTTGTTAGTGGTTTCCAGTACAGCAGATGTCTGTTTTGTCATCTTCCTCAGATGGGTGAGATCAGGGTTCTTTTTTAGCAGTTCTCCCCATAAGGGACTGACTAGCACAATGTTTAGATCTCTTCAAGGGGGAAATCCTTTCTTGCACAGAATGCACACAAACTAAGCAGTGCTGTGCAGAATTCAAAGTCTTCGGCTTGTCCTATCACTGTCCTGTCTGTTGTCAGCAAGGCTGCCACAAAAGAGCAGAGACCTTCCCAGTGTTTTCTGTAGCCTGTTGCACAAGGCTCTAATTCATGCACTGGTGTTTAGGCTGAGCAGCAGATGAGCACAGGTCTGCTTGGAAGGGATGGGACATGATTATTACCCTTGTCAGGAGCCCACCGTTCCCCTGGCATCTGTCTCCTGTAATGCTGGGCATTAAAGATGCATAAAGAGTCTTCTAGTGCAGTGAGGAATAATTGCTCTCCAGCCCTTTAGAGATTCACTGGCCTTTCAGAGCCCCCAGTAAGTAATATACTGAGATGGCCTTTGTGTGCCCGCTGAAGCCCGCTTGTTTCCGACTGACCCGGGAAACGTACTGCAAGACAGTGCACACCTGCATTAGCAACCTGCTAGTGCTGGAACCAGGTTTCATGCAGCTGCCTTGCCAGCATGTGGTTCTTTGTTGTGCCTGTGCTTCCACAGTGTCCTTTTTTCCTACACTGCAGATGCCACCTCCATTGTCTTACATCACCTGTTTCTTTTCAGCACCACTTCCTCTGTGCTAATGACGTATGTTAGCAGTGGCTTCCCTGTGTAGAAAAGGTTAGTAGAAGAGGGATCATCATTTTAAGTCATGTGTTGGCATTAGCTCTGTATTATAAGGAATAATATCTTCCTGTGCTCCATAAATCATAGAATCATGGAGTGTTAAGGGGTTGGAATGGACCTTAAAGATCATTTAATCTGCACCCCCCCAACATGGGCAAGGACACCTCCCACTGGACCAGGTTGCTCAAGGCCTTATCCAGCCTGGCTTTGAACACTTCCAGGGCTGGGGCATCCACAACTTCCCTGGGCAACCTGTTCCACTGTCTAAATGCAGCAGATGTCATAGAAGCTACCAAGAAGCAGCAGCACGGGCAATCCTATTCTTTTTTAAAGACTAGATTCTCCAGAATTTCTGTTACCGAAGACCCACTGTACCAGGAAATTGCAAAATTTGCACTGTCTGACAAAGTTACTGCTGCTGAAATTCACAGGGAAGCAGGTTTGTACATGTGTGTTATTACCAGCATGATCACATTGGCCCTGATGGGGGGGAGTGCTGTACGGCCAGGGTGGTCTCTGGAACTGCCTTTGGAACCAGATGCCACTGTGCTTGCAAGTGCTGCCCTGAAAGCAGACATGTCTGGACTCTGCAGGATGTGTAAGGTCTGCAGTGAGATGGGCAAGATCAGAAGACAACAAAATAAAATGTCACCAGAATGTGGTTTCTTGTCTGTTTGGTGTGTGGTGGTCTTGGTACCATCCCTCCCTACACAACACACCCCACCCTGCCCACAGGTTGTCCTTCTTGTTGTGGTGCTGTTCAGTTGTCTGCACAGTTTCTCCTCAGAACTCCACACATCCATACTTTGAGCAAACATTCACTACTTTCCCACTCAGTACAATAAACCTAGGAATTAAAGGAGGTTTTTCTTAGTGGATTTCAGTCTAGAGTCCTATTTCCTGTCATTTAAAAGTTACTAACAAGACCTCTCTAGACAGGGATAATTCATGACCGCCTGGATTTTGTAGTTAATTCAGTAACATATTCTTCTGCATAATGTGGCATGTGGAAGAAAATCATTCTGTGACAATCCATCCCTGTCCATCAGCATTCCAGCAGATTGTTTGCTGGATTGGCTCGGGCTGGTGCGAGGGGGTGACGTCGCTGTGCAGCACAAGCACGCTGCTTGTGAGGAGTGAGGTCTGTCCAGGAGCACCTGTGTCCTGCCAGAGGGGGGCTAAGGCAGGGACCCGGGGAGACTGTGGCCGTGATCCACTGCTCTGAGGGCAAGTGGTAAGTTAGCAGAATCCCCTCCCTCACCTGCTACCCATGCTGCAGGAGATACAGCCCAGGACGCGGGGTTTCTGGGCTGCCAGGGCATGTGGCCAGGTGGTGTCCAATTTAGTTATCCCTAGGTCCTTGTCCATCAGGCTGCTCTCTATCCGTGGATTCCCCAGGTTCCTCTGGATGACATCCCTCCAGCAAATCAACTGCACCACGCAGCTTGGATGAAGACATTACACAGCATTGGTAACACAGACCCTGGAGGAAGACTGTCCACTGACCCAGCAAACTGGGCCTTGCTCTTACCAAAGAGATCCAGCTCTGAGGGAGTCAGAAGTGATAAAAGAGACCAGCCAGTCACTCAATACTTGTTGCAGTGATTAATTGCACTAAAAATGCTGTGTCTGCTCATTTGAACTTGTTTTAATTTCAGCCTCTGTATCTGCCTGTACTGCTCAGTCCTGGTAACTGAAATAGTTTTATGGTATCAAAAATTTCTTCCTGCATATTTGTAGTCATAATTAACTCCATACATAATTTGCTGTATGAGCTAGAGAGGCTTACTAGTCTCAGTCAAAGCAGGTTTTTCTCTTTTTCAATTTTTTTTTTAGTTGTTTATTGTTCTTTGCTGGCATTTTATATATCGATTGGTGCATTTTTGGCTTTTTAAATCCAGAGACAGGAACAAGTTGCAGTATTCTGTTGCAGCAGTCTGGTTTATGTAGAATACAATGATAACATTGCTCTGCTCTCAGCAACCTCTTTTTGTCCTCAGCTCCCTCACTATACCACTTATATTCAGTTTTACCCTCTTACGTGCATTCTTCAGTTGTTCTGAAATTGCCACTGGGGACCCATTTCCGTTGTTTCTAGAAACTCAAGTTAACAGGGTGTAAGGACAGCACACGATGAACACATTCTGAAACATTGTGATGTATTTGAAGTGCTGAGGCCTGGACAAGAGGCCCTGGCCCAGAGTTGACCTATAGATGAACCTTCCAACCTAATGTTACATTTAGCCATGTATCTGCTTATTGGCCAAAATTCTGTATAACCTTTAGTAAAATATGTAAGACTACACCTTTGTAAACATCTGTGCTTGTTATTAAGATATATTGGTATTTGCTTATTAGTGAAGATTTGCATCTGTTAATGAGATATGAAAGTATCCATCTTCCTGTATTTAGAGACTAGTCAAGGCCATGGAAGTAGATAGCTGGCCTCGTTTGACAGTAGAGGGTCCAAATTGACTCCCTTGATTTCTTTTGAGCCCTGGCCAGGCTTTGGCTGAAAACCAAGGAGAGAAGAGAGCCAGATATTTTCTGCACTGAATAGCGACATAAGCTTGGATGTTTAACAGTCTGAAAGCTGGACCCTCTCCCAGCGCAGACGGAGCCCTCACCTGCGAGTGGCCACGGTGTGCAGGATTTCCCCTTTCCAGGGAGAGCTCCTCTGGCCCCTCGCTGTGATCAGGGCTCCCCAGCGGCTGATGTGGATTGTGGTGATGTATTAAAGGGTAACTGCTGAGGTATCTTTCTTAATCACTATAGACATTCTGTAGTGATGATTAGGTGCATTGCTAAGCTTGTCTTTTTATAATTCTTTGCTTCTTTTGTAATTCTTTGCTGTGTTGCACCATAGTAAATTTATACATTTATTTTTAAAGTTGGTGTCTGTGTTTCTTGTGCTGACCCTTGTCCCCCAGCAAAACAGTACTTCACAGAGTTACTCTAGCAGATACCTTAATAACTGTATGTTTTGTAGAGCAACTTTTCCAGAAAGCTTGGTTACATAATCAATCTTTTCATTGCTTTAATTTGTCATCAGCTTTTTTAATCTGCAGATTTTCTCTGTAATTGTTATATAATTTCATTAACATTCTTCATAAAGATGCCAAATAGCTGCAGACTCTGGGATTCTCTAGGACAAATCCTTATTTACAATTATTTAATAACAAGCATTTAATGTGTTCCAGCGATGTTTCTTAACACGTGGGGCCAAGAACATGGCCTTACAGAAATTTATGATGTCAACAGCTACTTTTACCAACATGGACTTGTAATTAATTAAAAAATAATGTTTACAGAAATCTGTTCTTTGTGAAACCACATTGGTCAGTTCTTACTTATGATGTCCTTTAATCTCAATTGTTGGTGTGTCTGGGAGATATCAGAGTGATAAGCTGTACTTACACATCACACAGCTTGTAATTTTTAAAATATAGGCACAATGGTTTTGCTTTGAGGTTGTGTTTTTGGTTTGGTGTGGGTTTTGTTTTGGTTTTTTTTGAAGAGGAGAGAGAATATATTGTGGTTTGGGAGTTGTTTGGTTGTTTTGTTTTTTCTTAATCCTCAAGGATTTCCCCATTGTTCCAAGAATTGTTAAGTCATTAATAATTCAGTAGTTTTCAGGAAAGTACTTGCTGTCCTTCCCTGCAAGTTGTGCAGTGCTGTAGCTTTAGACATGTTTAAGCTGCTTTAATAATGAATTAATAATAAGAAGAAGAATGTCCAAAAAAATGGAGCTGTTGTGTCAAGAGGAAACTGTGAAATGGGGTGCACCTTATGCAGAGACATCCACTGCAGTTTGTCATTCCTGCCTGCATGGAAAAAAAAGTGTGATGCTGTGTGGCACCTGAGGATGAAATCACTGTACACCAAGCAGTCAGCTCTATCACTGTGTCGGGGTGGGGTTTGTCCTGTTTTGTGTGGCATTCTCCTTTGCTAAGGGCACCACACCTGTGCCAGGCAAGCTCTTCCGCTGCTCCACTTCCCTTGCAATGACATTACATGTGAGTGAGATGTTTCCCTGTGCAGCTGCAGCTGTTTAGGAGCCTGGGATCAGTTCCCAGAGCAGTCTGGTCCTCGGTGCTTGCTCAGTGACCTCCATGGCGAGTGCAGGGTTAATGTCACACTGGGGTGTGTGACTGTAATGCTGATAATGAAACCAGCATCAAGCATTGATGCTATTTCTCGAAGTGTTGCTTGACTCTGAAGGCCCTCTGTCTTCAAAATTAAGTAGGTCAATCTCATAATTAAAATACAGCAGGATTGACAATGAGATTGGGGGTTGGTGGTTATATTGGGCAGCTCTGCTGAGACATTAATTAGTACAGTGTCCCTTTTTTATGCGTGTTGTATCAGGTCCAAACCCCCATCTGAATTATGCTCAAAGGTCTTCTAAATCAGAGGCTTTTGTTTTCCAAAGGTGCAGTTGCATTTCAGAAGGAAGTCTCTGCCTTTCTTCAAGCAAGTAACAAAAATCAGGTAGTTATTTTTCAAACATAGCCTGCATCGAGCCACAGAGCCACCATAACCAGAACACAGTTCCAGTGATTGCTTGGAGAGACAGAGCCAAATTAAAGGTTAGGAAAATCACAGCCAGTGCTGTCAGTTTTCCCTC